ATCAAATTTGCTCGTTTCCCATATGGGTTCCTTCTTGTAATTGTTTGATTGACTATACATATTCATTTCAAGGGTACTTTGTTATTGTTCTTCTCATACCAAATCAGTATATGTTGAGGTACGTTTTCTCGAAACACATACAATACAAACAAAACAAGTCTCAACTATTAATAATTAGCGAATGCATTAAACAAGAATATTACATCGCTGGTTTCCTTGGGCAAGTTAACTAGCCTTGCCTTGACTGACTTCATCTTAACCGATAACCGACCTGAGCAAGTGCCCTCGACTTCATAGTCATCCGAAGCCCAAGTGATCCACGCTTGAGCCTTGCTCATGTGAAACAAAAATACGTTATGCCTAGTGACATACACAAACAAATGGGATGATGTGCAATGTCGAATGTTGGACATGACCTTTATAGCTTCTAGGAGTTGTGCCAATGTGAAAGTAATTTAAATTTTCACATTTTGTCTACATCTCTTGTTTGCTTCGTTTCAAGAAGTGGCTAATATGTTGATAAGATTAATGAAGGTTATATAGGCAATTTAAGAAAGCCTTTGATCTCTACTTTCCGACTAAGTTAAACACGTTTGTTGCAAGTCCTATAAACTTGATAAATAGAATGAAATGAGGATTTGGATTAGATTAATTAAAGCCCAAATATATAATGAATCCCCCAAAACACCAACCTCTAACAGTATCCATACTGATAATAAGCTCAAAACTCTAATGAATCGACGATCCTATCTAGTTTCTATGCACTATAGATATAAGAAGAAAACAGAGCTCAAAGATTCATGGAGAACAAAATCAAAGAGAAATGCCTCAAATCGCATAAGATTGCCACGCCTCGCAAACTTGTTATAACTTAAGAATACATCCATTTTAACAAACTAGTCCAATATGGGGAAAAAAACGTAATGGCATTCAAGTTTCCAAGTGCATGATGCTTTCACTCTTATTTATAAGCTTCACATTAATGTACAGATTAATCAACCCGTGCTTTCGTATTCCTCTGATTTCAACCTTCCTCAAATCATTCTTTTGCGGATCATAATAGAGAATGTAATTATGGTAAAGCGCTGCCAAGATAACCTCGCCGTTTCTTGTTGTACCTGCCACCTTCAGAACACCGGTGTCGACTAAATGCATCTGACAAGGCTTTAAAACCAGAGATTTCCTCGACCATTTTCCACCATCTTCCAAGACCCATAACTCCACCTTACCCTCTTCTCTGAGATTGGCATGATCAAGAGTAGCTAGTCTTCCACCATACTCTACATAAAATGCATCCACATCATCAGGTGCTTGGATCATACTGAACTCTTCAGACCTAACGTCAAAACGTACAATGATATCGTGAGATATACTAGTGTCAGCCAAATAATATATAACTCCATTGATGCACACTCCTATATTTGTAGGAACGTGAGGTTGATCAAACTCTATTCTTTTCCAAAAACCTCCGGCTTCTAGTACGAATACCCAATGCTCCGATTGTATCAACTCAGAATCTTCCCATTTTATCGCAACATTGCATACTACTTTGTATTGATCAAGAACAGGATCATGTCCGAGAAAGTAGTGGACATACTTATCAAGTTCTTGAGCAAAGTTGGATTTGACGGGTGGTAAAGTTAAGCTTTGTCTGGTGGTGGGATTATAGATACACGCCTTTTTGCAAACCTTGTATAGAATCAAGCCACGAAGAACAACCATGTCGTGTCCTCCCATACCTGGCATCGTCAAATCTTGGTCAAAAGACTCACCATTACTACTAGACGATGATGTTAATGAAACCAGTAGAGACTTTCCGGGGTTGTGGCAGACTTCCATTAATGGACACTGGAAGTGCTCCGTCAAACTCATGTATAGACGAGGTGGTGATTCGACCGTAAGATGACGTTTGCTAAAATATCGAGAACGTATATGAGAAAACCAGAGCTTTGACACACACTTGAACCTCATAAGTGATTTAGGAGGCAATCTAGTTAGAATCTCGATCTGGAGCTCCAAAAGAATCTCTGGAGAGACTAAATCGTCTCCTCTTCGTATTCTTTTTCTTCCTCTTACTCTTCTC